AGAAAGGAGGAGGATTCAAAATCCAAACAGGTAGAGATAATGATAACTTTACTCACTTTAGCATTCATGGTGAATGCCTTTGAAGCATTAATAGGGGCAGGAGATGTTGTTCAGTGGAAGAGTGCTTTCCCAGCATGCACAAGGCTCTGGGTTTGATCCGACCACCACAAACACAAACAAACAACCAAAAAACAAAAAAGAGTTCTATAAACTTGATAAAGCAATAAAGTACATTATAACTTTGCTGAGCTACCTTAAGAATGTCACAAATATTGCATCAAATTGTTGCACACCTATAATCCCAGTGACTCAGGAGGCTAAAAAAGAAACATAACAAGTTTGAGGACAGCCTCAACAATTTGTGGAGACCTAGTCTCAAAAATAAAAAAGAAGCTTTAGGGATGTAGTTCACTGGTAAAGCAACCCTGAGTTCAATCCTTGGTAACAATAAAAATGTCACAGATATTATTCAATTTTTAGGCCTTATACCTGATTGCAACAAATGGAACTCCCAAACTTCCAAATCCAGAGAAACTTTCCCCAGTATTTCAAGATTTCTTAAATCAATATTTGGAAGTGGATGTTGAGAAAGGGGGTTCAGCCAAAGAATTGATACAGGTAAATTTGAAAATAATGCCATTTTTGAAAAAGTTTGACTCTATTTGAATAATCAAGAGAAAATTTTCACAGTGTTAATAATATTTCACTATTCATTAATCACTACCAGTAAGGCAGCTGCTACATTTTAGAGTTTCGTCTGTCAAAAATAAAAATTTAATATTGTTATTGTACATTCTTGTATATTATTGAATATTGTATTAATTGAATGCTGGCATGAGTATGTTTATGGACTGCCTAACTGTAGATATTTGGAAAGTAGAAAAACTAAAACAAAAACAACTCTGTTTTCAACTATGAAAGTTACATACTGATTATGAAGGGTTTGTGCAGATATTAAAGTATGTGTTGTTTAAGAAATTGTATTCTTAAGTAATCTTCAGAGTTTAGTTGAAAGAAAATGTTTTGCTTCTAAATTATGCACTTCTCTGTTCCCTCTTTTTGGTAGCACCCATTTCTGAAACTGGCAAAACCATTATCTACTTCATACCACATATCCTGGAAGCTAAAGAAGTATGAATAGAAACTGTTGACTTCATTGACAAGGCTTCATAGTCTTCTTTCATTTTCTGAAAAGAAAAAAATAATGAAATGTAATAAAGTGTTTGTTGTTTCAAAAGTTATGTAACATAAAATTTGCCATTTTAACCATGTTAAGTAGACAGCTCAATGGCATTAATTACATTCACAAGATTGTATAACCTTCTGTTTCCAGAACAATTTTGTTGCTCCATACAGAAACTCTGCCACCATTAAGTAATAATTCTTATTTCTTCTCCTCCACCCACTGGCAGAAACCATTCTTTTTTTCTTTTTTTTCTGTTTTATTGGTTCTAATTAGTTATATATGACAGTAGAATGCACTTTGAAACAGCATACATAAATTTAAAAAATATTTTTCTGATTGTACATGATGTGGAATCATTTAGTTATTCATGCACATAGAATAATGATGTCCAATTCATTCTTTATACTACTATACTTTCTACTATTCTTCCTACCTCATACTCCCTCCCCTCCCATCACTTCCCTCCGCCTAATTTAAAGTAATTTTATTCTTCCAGCCCTCCCCTTTACTGTGAATTAATGTCCACATATCGTTGACAATATTTGACCTTTTGGGGATTGACTTATTTCACTTAGAATGATATTCTCCAGCTCCATCTGTTTACCCACACAAATGCTATCATGTTATTCCTCTTTAAGGCTGAGAAATATTCCATCCTATATATAAACCACATTTGCTTTATTCATTCATCTGTTGAAGGACACATTCATTGGTTCCATGTTTAAACTATTGTGAGTTGAGCTGCTATAAACAGTGATGTGGCCCCCTCACTGTGATATGCTAATTTTAAGTCCTTTGGGAATAGACCACGGAATGCAATAACTGGGTGATTTTATTCCAAGTTTTCTTAGCAATCTCCATACTGCTTTATAATGGCTGCAACAATTTTCATTCCCATCAGCAATATATTAGTGTCTCTTTTCCCCTACATTCTTACCAACATTTATTGTTGCTTGTCTTCTTGATAATTGCCATTCTGACTGAAGTGAGATGAAACCTTAGTTTGGATTTTCATTTCTCTAATTGCTAGAAATGTTGAATATTTTTTCATATATTTTTTGATCAGTTGGATTTCTTTTTCTGTGAAGTGTCTGTTTAGTTTCTTAGCCCATTTATTGATTGGGTAATTTGATTTTTGGTATTAAACTTTTTGAATTCTTTATATATCTTGGAGATTAATGCTCTATCTGAGGTGCGCAGGGCAAAGATTTTTCTCTCATGCTGTAACCTTTCTCTTCACATTGGTGATGTTTCTCTTTGCTGAGAAGATTTTTAGTTTTAATCCATCACATTTATTCTTGATTTTTATTCAAGAGCTTCAGGAGTTTTTTTTTTAAGGAAGGCAGATCCTAAGCTGACATGATGGGCCTACTTTTTCATCTATTAGATGCAGTGTTCTAGTTCCTAAGTATTTAATCCACTTTGAGTTTTGTGCAGGGAGAGAGACAGGGGTTTAATTTCATTTTGTTACATATGGATTTCCAATTTTTCCAGCACCATTTGTTGAATAGGCTATCTTTTCTCTTGTGAACGTTTTGGTTGCTTTCCTCTATTATGAAATAACTGTATTTATGTTGGTTTGTCTCTGTCTTCTATTCCATACAATTCATCTACAAGTCTATTTTGGTGCCCATACTATCCTTTTTTTGTTACTATAGTTCTGTAGTATAGTGTAAGGTCTGATATTTTGATGCCTCCCGCTTCACTCAATTCTTGATAAGAATTGCTTTGGCTATTCTGGGTTTGTTGTTTTTCCAAATGAATTTAATGATTGCTTTCTCTAGTTATATGAAGATGGTCATTGGTATTTTAATAGGAGTCACATTAAATCTCTATAATGCTTTTGGTACTAAGGCAATTTTGGCAATATTAATTGTGCCTATTCAGTATCAGGGTAGCTCTTTACATCAGGTCTTTTTCAATTTTTTTCTTTAGTATTCTGGAGTTTACCTTGTAGAGTTATTTCACCTCTTTTGTTAGATTGATCCCTCCCCTTTTTTGTGGCTTCTGAATGGGGTAGTTTTCCTAATTTATCTTTCACTAGGTTCATCACTAATTTATAGAAATGTGTTTGATTTATATTTATTGATATGATGTACTGCTACTTTGCTGAATTCATTTATTAGTTCTAGAAATTTTTAGTAAAATTTTTTGATCTTCTAAATATAGAATCATGTCATTGGCAAATAGTGATAGTTCGAGTTCGTTTCCTATACATATTATTTTAATTTCTTCCTCCTGTCTTATTACTCTGGCTAAATTTTCAAGGACAATGTTGAATAGAAGTAGTGAAAGAGGATATCCTTACCTTGTTCCAGTTCTTGGAGGGAATGCTTTCAACTTTTTTCCATTTAGAATAATATTGACCTTGGGTTTAACATAGATAGCCTTTACAATGTTGAGGTAAGTTCCTACATTTCTAGTTTTTCTAGTATTGTAAACATGAAGGGGTGCTGTATTTTGTCAGATGCTTTTTTCTGTATCTATTGAGGTGATCATATGATCCTTATTTTAAAGTCTATTGATGTGATAAATTACATTTGTTGATTTTTGTTTTTTGAACCAAACTTGCATCCCTGGGTTGAACCCCACTTGATTGTGGTACACTATCTTTTCAATATGTTTTTGTATTTGATTTGCCAAGATTTTATTGAGAATTTTTGTATCTATACTCATCAGGTTATTGGCCTGAAATTTTCTTTCCTTGATATGTCTTTGGTTTTGGTATCAGGATGATATTAGCCTCATAGAATGTGTATGGAAGGGTTTCTTCATTTTGTATGTCATGGAATAATTTGAGGAATATTGGTATTAATTCTTTTTTGAGGGTCTTGTAGAGCTCATCTAAAAATACATCTGTTTCTGAGCTTTTCTTGATTGATAGGTTTTTGATGGTGTCTTGTATTCAATGCTTGAAAATGATCTGTTTAAATCATGTATATCCTGATTCAGTTTTGATAGGCCATATATCTCTAGAAATTTGTCAATCACTATAAGATTTTCAATTTTATTGGAGTATAAATTTTCAACATAGTTTCTTATGATTTTCTGTATTTCAGTAGTATCCATTGAGATGTTTTCTTTTTTATCACATATTTTAATAATTTGAATTTTTTCTCTCTTAATTAGAGTAGCCAGAACATTACCAATTTTCTTTATGTTTTCAAATAATCAACTTTTTTTGTTTTGTCAATTTTTTGAATAGTTTCAATTTAATTGAGTTCAGACTTGATTTTAATTATTTCCTGTCTTATACTGCTTTTGGTGTTGATTCAGTCCTCTTTTTCTATAGCTTTGAGATATAATATTAGGTCACTTACAGGAAAAGTACCTGTCTTAGATAAACTTTGTCTTACATCTCATTTGTTTAGGGATGAATTTTAATGCTATCAGCTGTGAATCCATTCTTAATAAGCCCACAGTATATATTTTTAAATGTGTATGTAAACGGTAAGACACATAAAAAAAAGTCATATATATAGATCAGGAGGGAAAAGGGAACAAAGATTCACAGGAATCTATTCCTAAGAGTTAATGGTTTAATATTCACTCATTCAGTGTTTGTGGTAAATGTATAGAATGTGACTCCTGTAAATAATGATAATTGGCTGTATCTGTTCTTTAGATACACAGTTTATCAGGGGTGACTTACATAATATATAATATCCAATGCAATATAAAATACAATGTAAACAAGAGCCCTAAGAATGATTGATTGGTAGACATAGTTACAAAATAATACATCTCAAGCCAATTTTCCAGGACTCAAATATCCTGTAATTATCTGGAGCATGGCCTTGAGGCTAAAATTAAGAGAAAAGAACTTTGAACAGCAGAGCTTTGTTGGCTCCCCTCTTTTCCCAGCCTATGCCAGCTCACCAACCAGGGCTCTG